TGTTAAACCAAGCAGAATATTTAGTACCTCAAAAACTAACTGCAGGTGATAAAAATTATTTATATCATTATGTTCAATTGGACATGGTGGAAGGAATTCTATTAACATCAATACCTATTCAAAATACATCAAAAGATAATAAGATTCTTGTTAACTTTAATAAATGTGTACATGTTATTCATAGACTGTTACGTAATACAATAAGATTTAAGATGTTGAATCAAGATATAGATAAAACGGTAATCAACAAAAGTTTAATCGCTGTTAAAGAACATGGTGTATTATTCGAATGGGAAAATACAGCTTTTTGGGTAATTGGGCGCCTCTATACGAGTCCTCATCCAAAGGAATTGTACGTGTGCCATCAAGACTCTGCACCTCAGAATCTAATCGAAATAGCTTTTCGGTTACACTCGTAATACTTACACTGTGTATGTATACAGAAAATACGTATATTTTGAATAAATTTTTATTATATATACGCAACACTGTATATGAATTATTTTTAATTTGTAACTGTGATAATAAAAACATAATCTTAAAATTATTTTTTATTAAGTAATTACAGTTAATATTTTATAAAAAATTTTATATATTTAACATTTTATATATTCGTAGGTACTCATTTTTTATTTCATTGAAATCAATGACTTTTTGTCAAAACTTTTTATTAAAAAAGCAGAGGGAAAATTCCTCGTAAACTGACTTGTCTACTTTGACCTCTGTTTTTTGTAATACCTGTTGTTTTAATTACGTTTTTTTACAAGTGCAAGTGCATATATTCTCAGGAATTTTTACAGAAACACAAGCTCCAGCCATTTTACTTCCATAATGTCCTGCCCAATACAATCTGTCTCTCCCACTGTGCTCAAAGGAGATAACTCTGAGACCAGTTCCATAGTTTTCAAATACATGTGAAACCTGCGATAAAGCATACAAAAAAATATAAATTGAAGATTGTATATATGCCATATTTCAATTTTTATTACATAAATTTTTTTCATGTTTTTTTAATACTCACTTGCAGCCATCTATTCTGTTTCTCTCCTTCTAGAATATCTTCAAATTTAAACTTATCCATTTGTTCTTCATCAACACCAATTAATTTAACTTCCAATTGATATTTTGCTGGACAGTCCCATCGACAGCTGTACCATTCGCTTACCTACATATACATGGCATATAATTTACAATTGCATACAATATGTATGTGTGTGTGTGTGTGTGTGTTTATATATATAATTTCATCACATAAAACTTGATACTACCACTATAGGTGGTTGATAAGTGTCTAGGATATATGGATGAATCCCTTCATCTGTCAGATAGATATCTTGCATTTTGGAGCAACGTTGATAGGACGTCGTGAAACAGATCTGTCTATCTTTAAACATTGGTTCGGTTTGCGGCAGTTTTGGCACGCCAACGGGAGGCTCCTCAATCCTCCATTGATCACCACCATTCGAACCCAAGTCCCAATGATGCATGCCTTCTGTGCCGGAATGATTTCTCAGCAAGTTCCTCTCATATGGCTTCTTAGTGCATGCGAAATAAAATACGGACCAGGGGATTTTGTCGTTCCATGGAAATGGTTTGGCTAGCGTCTGCTCGGTCTTCTTATGCCATACGTAATTCATCAACATCTTCCAACGTTTACATACCAACTGACAATTCATCAGAGTCTTGCAATCGACATAGCAAAAGATCTCTATCAGAATTTCAACCGGTAGATATTTATCACAGAGTACCAAGCCATTGTCACCCTCTTCATCGAACATCACGCGAGGACTTGAAGGAATAGTATTGAATTGTCCCATCATCTGTTAACACACACTTGACACGTTACAACGTGATGCACTGACGGCACTGACGCAAATGTGTTTACAATATCGCCGACAATGTTGCTTCGATGTCAAGAGTGGTCATCGAGGCGATCTCGGATTCGAGGAAACGTTTCACCGCGTCTGAATTTCCGTAAACTTTTCTTACGCATCATCACGCAAAAGTACACGCTTTCGAGTACGCAATATTGAACGTTTGACACTATGCTCGATAGAAACAAACGACATTTTCCGTGATGTCGTGACAAAAATCGCCCGCCGTATCAGTCGTGTCTCGAATGCTCGAATCGAACAATTAACGGAACGAAATTAACGAAATGTCCAAAGTGACGCAAATGACTTTGCAATCGCAATTACTTACGACTTGTCGCGTGTTCTCTCCAAAGCTTGTCACAGTTTGTCAGGACCTTCGTGTTCGTACGCGGAGGTGGCGCAAATCGATAACAGGCTTAGTTTTGAGTCATAACGGAAGTGTGAAGTCGAAATTCATTTTCAGTTCTAGACGTGAATCTCACGAGTTCCGGTCTTTTGACACGTGACATCCATTATTATCTATGTTCGTCTCCCGTTTCGAAATGAAAGAAGTCTGCTTCTTAATAATTTGATGGACATATCCCGTAAAGAGCATATTGCACATCATGCATCCTTTTATCCTCGTTGTGCACTGAACATTACATTTGCTTTACACAGCTCTATATTGGGGTATTTTATATATATATATTAAAATTGTAACTTGAAGGAAAGGAAAGCAAATACTTGATTTTTTATTCATTCCTACTTGTGTGATAGATAAAATATTAGCCAATCAACTGAATTCCTGATAAAGAAAATAATACAATCTTTACTTTATTAGGATGTTATTATCTAGAGAAATTGGGATTCCTCGTTCCAAACTATAGTGTATCATTTTATCCTTGTTCACCAAATATTAAAGAAAAATAAAATGATAAATCAAGCGTGAATACATCCAGGGTCTCTACAAGCAACAAAATACACAACTGTCCTCTAAGCTAAACAGTTCCTTTATTCCTAAACAACCGAAATATTTCGAGCTCTGTATTTTATATCTTAAAACGGCGGCAAAAGGGTGGAGAAAAGGAAATTGTACGACGATTACGTACAATTATGTTGAATATTTTCCTTTATTTTCTGCAGAGTAGTATAGCGTCGCAGTACAAAAACACCATGTCATTTAAAGGAAATAGGTGCGCGGCTTCCGGACGCTGAACAGCGGCATACGATTTCTGTGCTGAATTCGCTTGGGCAATGGGAACTTAATCTTGGAGTCGTGGAACTGCTTCACTTGGGGCCTGCGGCAGTTTGCAGCCTTCACAACCTCCACCTTGATTATCTGTATGGAATGAGCACGTGCACGATGACGGGCACCCATGTCCCTATAGCACTGGGTTACTGCCCCACTGACGGAGAGGTCCCTGTACTCCCTGTACATGTTGTGTGTACCAGATCGGGAATCATACCTCAGCCATATTCCAAAGTTCTTGATTTTCATTGGAGTTTTCTCTGGGATCTAAAAGATTCAATTTTATATTATCAACATATATAAAGTTATCCAATATATAAATAAACACAATGAGATATTTAGTTTCTTATATCCGTTTTTATTAATGTAAATTAACTCTAATGAAATTACTTTTCATCTTTCTCTAATTTTAAGAATTAGAAAAGGATAGAATAAATTAAATCGAGATTGAAATTGATTTACAGTAAAAATGAACATTAACAATTTTTTATTATAATTTGTGATCTACATTAAACTCTGTATTTGTCACGTTTTCTTTCTCTTTTCCAACATTTGTGTATTCATTTTATTTTAAGTGCAACAAATACAAAATATAGCAGTTACAAAGAACACATCTAATATATATATATATATTGAGATGAGTACCTGTTTAAGAGACACGATCTCACCGGTAGACTTTTTAAACTTCTTCAACTGGCGCAAGAAGTACCAAAACCTGGACTTGGCTACTATAGCATCCGGCGCGAATATCCTCATTTTGTACAACGGCGTGGTCTTCTCCTTCTCGGTGGGGAGCTTGCGCCCTATCACCTCGAATTCTTTCAGCTGAAAGAAAAAGGAGAGATGATCATTTCATTCGAATTTGTTATAAATTAGCTGTATCGAATTATGCGAGCATGCGTTGGTGTGGGCAGTTATAGGTTAGATCACGCCGTTTATCATAGTGTACAGCTCCATTTAACATTTTCAAGCTAATTCCAAGTGATTAATTAATGCTTGGGATAAAAAAAAATAGCTTTCAATATTGATCTCGCTTATTCCTCAAGTAAAATTTGTAAAAATTACTTACTTCACCCTTCGCTTTCATAGTATCGCGTGACACGTTTAACCAGTTTAACAATAAACCGGAAAGGGACTGCCACCATCTTGGTGGCACGGAAATTCTACTGCGGCCATTTAATTTAATTTTTTGAAAGACCAATTGAAAGAGAGAACGTAAAGAAAAAGTTATAAATATTTTTATTCGTAAATTATAATTTTTATTCGTATATATGTATATGACACACACACACACACACACACACACACACAAAATAATTTCAACAAATATTATTGATATTCTAAACTGATATTTTTAGGAAATATGTTATCATCAATCTTGGAAGTTTTCCACAACATAAATCGATCCATCTTATAAATAGAAAATATTTATACAAACAGATTATAAATCTGTTTTTAATGAAACATTTTGTGCATATATATATATATATATACATGTATATATATATATATATATGTGTGTGTATGTATGTATGTATATATAAAACATCTCTTCCAATTGTTTATATTTGAAATGTTTAATTCAGTCAGTTAAATGTGAAACAAAATGTACACAAATTCAAATATGCATCTTTATTTAATTCTATCTATACAGACTATAAATAATACGTTAGCGATGTTTAATCTATAAACAATATCCTTAGATTTTTTAAGTCAAAATTGATTGGAACAATCTGATTAAAATATATATTTTAAATGTAATTATTTTTTTTATTTTCAAACAAAATTGCATAATTCTTTTACTATCAGCTTATTTTCAAATAAACTACAACTACTATTTCTTTTTTTCATCTGCAAATAAACATGTAATAGCAATTGTTGGCAAGAAAATAAGCAACTTTGTGTTTTGCAATTTATCTTTAATTTGCCCGAGATCTACGCAAGAACAAAATCAAACTTTTCCTGCGCATCATCAGGAGATTGCCACAGATTTATTTCAACCTTGTATAAAGCATAAAAACTACGATATTACAAAGACATTTTACGACCCTCTATAGATATATCTACTGCTCTTCTTGCTGATTTCATACGTTTACTGTCCATGTAGTTCTTCATGTGTCTCTCAAATCGGCTCATTTGTTTCTTGGTGCTCTGCACAGATTAACGAAACCATTACAATTGTGTAAAGAATTGTAATGGCATATAATTTATATAGCCAAAAATCTTCAATATTATGAAGTAAGGTATTGAGGAGAAGAACACACCATAAACATTGAACATTAATAAGTTGGATTAGAAATTTAGAAGTGAACAATTTTATCCAAAATTTAATTTATGCAAAATTTCATTTATAAGTAAAATTAAAAATGAATAATCATAAATAATTGAACATAATTATATAGCAATTATGTCTTTATGAAAAGAAGTTTTAATTTTTATTCCAACTCTACACATAATAAGTAATAACAAATACCTACCCTACTAATATCAATATCTGATTTCCAGTCAGGTCGTATGACATAATCTTTGTTAGATGGCCTAGGAACTCTAGCCCTTCCCACCCATCCAGGATCTCCCGGTCTCAATGGTCTATAAGATACAGAAAGAGTTCAATACAATGAAAATGTAACAATTAATATCAATTATTAACGATTATATTATCGACTGTACTTAGAATCTCCTTTCAAGGCCTTATTAATATCCTGCGATTTTTGAGAGGATCCTCCGTCCTCAATTTTTCTTCTCTTTTGAGGTGTCTGCTCCAAGTCCCTCTGCATCCTCTCTTCTTTCGAAAGCGCCTTGAAGTCCGCCGATAAATTAAAAATAGGTCGGGCCCATTCATTGATCAACTTTCCAGCGCGTTCCTTGTTCTCTTTTGTTTCTTTTGGGTGTTTATAAAGATACATCACAGCCTTTCCAATACCAGATTGCTTCAGCGAAGATTGGTCAATTTTTGGAAACTATAAATGATGTAATAAATAAATAAAGATATAAATATGTTTCTTTTTATCGAATGGACTTATCTCATGATCTTATGATTTTACCTCCCATAACAATTTTAGAAGATTGTCTCTGATTTTAAGAGATGGCAACGAACGATCAGGCATCGGTGCTAACCAGTCAGTAAGGACAGACAGAACGTTATGTTCTAAGAAAGCCAATTGTAGATCATGCTTTTTCAGTTGCGACAATACTTTCGACAACATGGCAATCTTATTTGTAGCAGGTTTATTTTGATGATTCAATTTTCTGTCTTCTTCAGCTGCGACTTTCATGTCCGATAATAACTGTGCTATAATATCATCGTTATCATTAATGATACCAATGTCCTTTCGTTTACGTCTACGAGATTGTTCCTCTTTTTTTCGTGCTAACATACGGTCAAAATCGGACAGCATATCATCCCTGAAAATATTAGATAGTTTTTATTTTACTAAATTTTATCGCATTTTTTAATTTTAATCCTCCGATATACTTTTATATTAATTTCAGATTTTGCAGTTAAATATATTCTTACATTCCACTACCAGTAATAATTCCATCGTCAGAATCTTCGTTATCCTGTTGATCATGGACAATTGATACATCTAATTGCTTATTTTCCTCATCTTCGCCTTCCTTCTCTTGATGCATCTCGTCATCTTTTTTTCTTTCGTTCCCATCTTCATGCTCGGAATCCGACAAATCATTTTTCATTAATTTCTTTGCTTTAACTTCATCAGTCTCTTCTTCAGAATCTGATAATGCTCTATTTCGTTTTCTAATTATTTTATCCGAATCTCTGCTAGGACTTCTGGATTTTCTAGATCCGGAGATGGATCTAGATCTTGATCTAGATCGAGATTTAGAACGTGATGAATGTCTAGATTTGGCGCTGGAGCCAGACCTTGATCTCGATCTAGAATGTGACCTCGATCTTGATCGTAATTTTGATCTCGACCTGGATCTTGATTTCGATCTTGATCTTGATCTTGAACGTGAGCCTGAACGCGATCTCGAGCCAGATTTTGACCTTGAACGAGATCGCGACCTCGATATCGATTTCCTGGATCCAGAACGAGATCTCGATCGCGAAGCTCTCGAAACAGAACGAGATCTTGATTTAGATTTATTGGATCGCGAACTGGATCTGGACCTTGAGCGAGAATTCTTCCTTGAATGTACAGGAGATACGGAACCTTTACGTGAACCCGATACAGATCTTGATTTTCCTCTAGATCCAGATTTTTGCGATCTTGATCGCGATCGTGAACGCGAGCCTTTTCTTGAACTCGACAAGGATCTAGACTTCGATTTGGATTTTGAACGTGACAAAGCCCGTTCTCGCGAAGGTGATTTTGATTGTTTCCTAGATCCGGATCTTGATACAGATCTTGATTTAGATTTTCTATTTGCCGAATTGGAACGAGATCTAAATCGAGGGCTTTTCCCTAAATCTGGAGAACCTTTTCTAGAACTATTCACAGAACGTGATTTTGACCTTGACCTTGATCTTGATTGTCTCTCTGCCACTGGAGATCGATTTGGCGATGAAGGCGAACGAGAACCTTTCTTGGATCCAGATAGAGATCTTGATCTTGATCTTGAACCAGTTTTGACTTGTTTGGGATTTGCTGATCCTGACCTTGACCTTGACCTTGATCTTGACCTTGATCTTGATCTTGATTGGAAAGACTTGGGAGTTCCCGATCGGGACCGTGAATGTATCGATGTTTTTGGAGAGCCAGAACGGGATCGAGAAAGAGATCTTGAACGAGATCGTGATTTAGAAACTGCCCGCGGCGAAGGAGATTTAGAAGACTGAAAGTTTGTCTTCGAAGATATACATTTAGATGGAGTATTATTTGACTTTGGAGAATTTGATCTTGATCTGGAACGCGAATTATTTCTTGATGCTGGATGTGAACTTTTAGAAGAATGAGAGGAGCTTCGAGATCTCGAACCAGATTTAATAGAGCGCGGTGAATGTGCTGGTGATTGTGAGCCATCTCTTGCACTTGTCTCTGTATGTTCTGGAGAACGAGATTTAGAATGTGATCTAGATATACTTCTTTTGTTATTCATTGGTGAGATGGAGCCATTCGGTGAAGGTGATCTGGATGATGATCTAGAATAAGACTTTCTAGAACTTGCATTAGAACGGACAGAAGCTGGTGATCCGTTTCGCATTGGAGACGATTGATTTGACCTAAAAACAAAGGAATTTTTATTCCAATTTTAATAAATATAAAGATAATTAAGCAAGCAGAATATAAATATTAAATACCTAGCAGGTGAAGATTTTGGACTAGCAGAATGTGATCTGTTTCTTGCTGCATTGCTACCTGATTTCTGCGAATCCGGAGTACTGCTTCTGGATTTATCATGTTCTTCATCTGAATCACTTCTTTCGTCTTAAAAAGAAAAAGAAAACAATTCACGTATGATATGTGGTTCTTTTTATAAAATCTCTAAAAAAAGATAATATATAATTAGATAAAATTAGATAAAATAATGAAAAAATAAAGATATTACACGTATATATATTTTTATATTATTTTAAATATTCTTGGTCTTTGAATTAATATGTTATAAAAATGTACCTGTGTACATCATGTTTTCGTATAAATTTTTTTTCACATATATTCAGGCAATAAAATCTCTTGAACAAAATTTGAGTTTCAATGAAGCAATAATGTAAATAACTATTCTTACCTTCAAAACCCATGGCATCTATGTTTAATGTGGTAAAAAACGTGGCCTCGTCACAATAAATTAATAAAAATATTACGCCAACTAGTCACTGAACATAACCGTCGTTTTGTTCTTTTATATCTTTAACAATAATTCAAAATCGTATTTTTTTCACAGATGTGCCGCTTCTTTTCATATAAGTATCGAAGAGAAGTTCTTATCCTGATTTCAGTTCCTATGTTGATTTAGCACATCAGTCTCTTTCTTTTCGAACAAATAACATAATCAACTAGAGAGATCAACTAAGATCTCTCAATAGAAAACGATAGAAACTTAAGTTTTCAATTATACATTTTTATTTTCTCAATTTTCTCGTGTGTTGTGAGATATTTTAATATGAAGTATCACTCTTCTATAATTGAAGCTCTATTTTGTTAATTAATATCAGTCATAAGTATCAGAACTGAATTCTCTTCTTCTTTTTAATAATTGGTTTTTCGATCTCCTCTATAATCTATAAAGAAAATAGAACCATGCGATAAATACTAAATCCACTTATATCAAATTCTCTCGTTTATCAAAAACTTTAATAAATTGGTTACGAGTCGTGAACCGCTGTTTTAATCAACATTAGTCAAGTAGTCACAAGACGCATCCCATCTCCATGATGCAAGTAGATATGAGGCCTGTTCTTTTTAATTGAACTTTTGCACCAGTTTAACTTTTCTCTTTTTTTCTTCCAAAGAAAAGAAGAGGAAAAAAGATGAACTGGTGCAAAAGTGCAGTCAAAACGAACAGACCTGGTGTGTTCTTGCACATGTTTATCTGCTGCAGCCAATCAGGCTGACATCCTATGAAGAGCGGAACGGAATAGCGCGACCAATCACAATCGTAGAAAAGAAAGCAACGTAAGGGGGCCATTCCACACATCTTACATAGCCGCATAAAGAATATCATGCATGAAGAAAATCATCTAATCGTATTTTACGTTTGTCTTTATAACAGAAATATGATTGGATAATTTTCTTTATGCATATAATTATGCGGCTACACGTTGTGTGGAATGGCCCTAATGTGATGCGGTAGCCAATAAGCTTACAGCTTCTAATGTGTTCATTGGTTGCCGCGTCTTATTTTGCCGCGCGGCAAGCATTTCCGCGTCCAGTGTACAGAAACCATAATAGCTGCATTCGATATAATGCAAATCTGAGGAGTTGGAGTGCTCTTATATTATAGCATATGTCACGTGTACTATAGAAAAAAAGCACTTGGACGCTTCAGATTTGCATTGCCGAACGCAGCTATGATTGAAGAGTTGTGATTGGTCGCGCTGTTCGGTTCAGTTATAAATTTCCGCTCCATAAAATACCGACTAAGCCTTGTCCACAATGATAGAAATCCTGAGTATCACTCATGAAACTTTATCTCTAGAATCGAAAGTGAAAAGTGAAAATTTTAACCATTAAAATTAATGGAGACATTTTTCACTTTTCACTTTTCATCCTAGAAAAAAAGTTTCATGATTGATACTCAGAAACAGGATATTACGGGAGCACAGAGTCTTAAGGCCATTCTACATTGGTCGTATCGTAGACGTCACAAGTCACAAGCTTGTTGCTTCAGCTAATCCTTCACTTTTAAAGTCGCATGATGCTTACGACACTTTCGACGCTACGATACGATCAATGTAGAATGGCCGTTAGGGACTCCGCACAATAAAAGAAACAGGGAACAGAAAACAGAGAATAAGAATTTCAACCTATCAGAAATCATGTATTGTGGAATACACAGTTTTTTGATAGGTTGAAATTCTTATTCTCTGTTCTCTGTTCCTTTTATTATACGGAGCCCTTTACATAACGCATAACATAAGAAAATGAATCAATCGAAGTCTTTTATTTTCTTCCTTTCTATGAAATAAACGACTCTGATTGGCTGATTTTCTTATGCTTTATGTTTTATGCGTTATGCAAGGGTCTGTGTTCCCTGCTTATTATACTGTTACTGCCTACTCATTGTAGACTATGCATTACATTCACGTGAATTTGTTCACTTTTTATGTATTCATTCCTAAAGGAAACTTTACATAATCGATACCCTGTGGTTTTAATACCACTATGATCGAAATCTCGAAATTGACCTCGATCGATTATTTCTGCGAACATGTTGGTGAGGTTATTTCGAGTTTCTCGAAGTGCTCGCAGAATTTTCTCTCTGCAAAACACGACTCCAAACTCCAATTAGTCCAATCACCAGTGCTAGTACTACTAGTGCGCTAGTCAACTAATGCAACTTTAGTAGACTGCGCGGGAATGCATAGCGCAGTCATAAGTGATTATAAGAGTAAATAAGTAAGCAGATATAAGCCAAGTAACTGTGATGACAGATTTATTTGACATAGCAAACCTAATCACGACCGTCGGTGTTGACGGCGTGAAGATTAAACAGGAACCCGGACTTCCGGAGAAGTCGTCTAATGAGATTCTTACAGAGCTCTTTAGTACCTTTGACACACCGGACGACGGCGTCGCGTCGCCGTTAAATAGCGCCCAGCAGGTGTCGAATGGCGATGTTGACAAGATCGATAAGGTATCAGATGAACTTCAAACGAAGAGGAAGAAGATCAAAAAGAAACATAAACACAAAGAGAAAAAACACAAGAAGAAATCGAAACATGATTCCTCGGATAATAGTGATGCAGATGGTAACAATGTGCATTATGTATTAGTTAGCACTGTATTACAATATAATCATTCTTTGTTTATATTGATCAGGTATCAAAAAAAAGAAAAAACACAAGAAGAAATCCAAGCGAAGACATGAATCTGTTTCTAGCAGGTCATCCGACTTGGGTCATAGTAAGCCCAAAATAGCAAAGATGGATGATGATAATGATTGTGGAGACACCAAATATGATGATGCAAAATCATACCTTGAAGTGTCAGAAAAAATTAATATGAATGACGAGGAAAAGCCAGATGATCTTCATGATCTAAAGAAGGATTCAGATACTACAGACAAACTCTTGGATAATCCTGGTAGTCCTCAATTACCACCTATATCAAAAAAGGATGATGAATTTGATGAGCCAGTGATACCTAAACTTCTTGGTACTTCTTGCTGTTGATAACATTTATAAATTATGTTAAATGTATACTGTTTTTTAAATGTATAATGTTAAAAAATTCGTAATATGAATATAATTAAGATTCGGCTTTCTATTTTTTAGTTAACTTATGGTTAGGCTTAACCTGTGTTTTATTCAATGGGTTTTATCTATGATGTCATTGATGAAACTTATTGGATGAAACATCAGGTTAGAAGCTTAATCAAAGTTAACCAGATAATTTAATAATTTGTTTAATCAGATAATGGATACTCTTCATTTATAAAATTACTGACATTTTTGTACATGGTGCATTTGTCTACACATAACATATCTGTACTTGGCTCTAGGGTTACTAGTAAGCTCTAGATTTCTGTGTACATTTGTGTTAAGATGTGTTGAACATTTGGAAAACATCTAATGAAAAATTGGATTTAAAAATAATGTATATAAAAAGAAAGAAAGCACATATAACATAAATAATATCTTTCTATGAACAGAAAAATCAAAGCAGCCTTCTCAAGGAAAAATATTGATAAAAGATCTCAAAAATAGTACTGTTTATAATGAAACAGTAAAAGCGATAGAAAATAAGCAAAAGGCAAAAGCTGCGGGAATGGAAGATGGTGAACTGTCTGACAGCAGCAGTGAGGATAATAATAATAGGACACCTACTTTGAGTCCTACTCCACCTCGAAATCGATCATCGTCGTTCAGCCCAAGTAGAGATAAAATAAGCAATAAAATATTCAGTCCAACAAGGAGCTCCATGACTTCTAAGACTGATCTTAGATTAGTTTTGAAAGAGAAAGAAAGAAAAAGGTTTAAAATTATCTTAGATTATTTCAGTAAATCATTATTTAAGTCTAAAGAATTGGTCTGGAAAGTGAAGGAAAGAAGAAGGAAATATTTCTATAGGTAATGATTACAGAATAATAATGAAGAATTTCAATTGCAGAAGCACAAAAGATAAAGACAGTCGTTCACAAGACAGAAGGTCAAGATCGCGAACGCGATATAGCTCACGTAGCAGTAAGAGTGACAGGAGAGAAAAACAGAGGGGCAGGAGCAGAGAAAGGCGCGAAAGGAATAGGAGCAGTGAAAGAAGAGACTCTGGCAGAAGCAGAGAAAGATACAGACATAGAAACCACAGTGAAAATAAAGACAAATATACACGAGGTCGAAGTATGAGCAGAGAAAGAAAGTTAATATTGCATTAAATTATTTGACAGTACAATAATATTTATATATCAATTTTATTTACTTAATATTTTTTTAT